CTGCATTTTCAAGGTGTGTTAGAAATATCAACATGTAATAAGATCTTTTTTTGGGGGGGCTTCATTAATTGATAAAACCGAGCATAATATCTTCTTTCTACTAGTACAAGATACACTGCATTTTCAAGGGGTGTGTTAGAAATATCAACATGTAATAAGATCTCTCTTTTTTTGGGCCTTCATTAATTGATAAAACCGAGCATAATATCTTCTTTCTACTAGTACAAGAGACACTGCATTTTTAAGGTGTGTTAGAAATATCAACATGTAATAAGATCAGCGAATGGTCCAGCACACTTGTGCGCTCAGCATGCTTGTATGTTCAATGTGACTGAAAGCTGGATCGATGGGCCTCCCTTCTGGTTGACTGTTGGATGAATGTCTTTGTTCTCAAAATTCTCCGCAAAAAATGTTATACATAAAACTATGAGATATAAAGATAGCCCTAAAAAGTACCATCATACTGGCCATGAAAAGACTTATCAAGCAGGTGTCCCTCTTCGTGATCTTTTTATGGTTTCGGTCTTACCTATACGACCCATGCTCTCGGCTATTCACCCCTCTTGCTTCTCCGTGTATTTCTGTTATACTCCCTATGTTTCCTTTTAGTCTGGTCAAAATCAAACTTTATAAACTTTGACCAGCTTTGTAGGAAAAAATATCAACATCTATACAATACTAAAGCTATATGGTATGAAAATCCATTTCAAGGAGATATCCCATGGTGTATGCTCTTTGCGGATAATGTGGTGCTATTGATGATAGTCGGACGGGGGTAAATAGGAAGCTAGAGTTATGGAGACAAACCTTGGAATCGAAAGGGTTTAGCCTTAGTAGAACTAAAACCAAGTACATGTTGTGCGGTTTCAGTACTACTAGGTGTGAGGAGGAGGAGGTTAGCCTTGATGGCCAGGTGCTACCTCGGAAGGACACCTTTCGGTATTTGGGATCAATATTGCAGGAGGATGGGGGTATTGATGAAGATGTGAACCATCGAATCAAAGCCGGATCGATGAAGTGGCGCCAAGCTTCTGGCATTCTCTATGACAAGAGAGTGCCACAAAAGCTAAAAGGAAAGTTCTACAGGACGGCGGTTCGACCCGCAATGTTGTATGGCGCGGAGTGTTGGCCGACTAAAAGGCGACATGTTCAACAGTTAGGTGTGGCGGAGATGCGTATTTTGAGATGGATGTGTGGCCACACGAGGAAGGATCGAGTCTGGAATAATGATATACGAGATAGAGTTGGGGTAGCACCAATTGAGGAGAAGCTTGTCCAACATCGTTTGAGATGGTTTGGGCATATTCAGCGCAGGCCTCCAGAAGCTCCGGTGCATAGCGGACGGCTAAAGCGTGCGGAGAATGTCAAGAGAGGGTGGGGTCGACCGAATTTGACATGGGAGGAGTCCGTTAAGAGAGACCTGAAGGATTTTAGTATCGACAAAGAGCTAGCTATGGACAAGGGTGCGTGGAAGCTTGCTATCCATGTGCCAGAGCCATGAGTTGGTTGCGAGATCTTATGGGTTTCACCTCTAGCCTACCCCAACTTGTTTGTGACTAAAGGCTTTGTTGTTATTGTTGTTGTTGTTGATTTCATACTGTGAATCTTGATATTTTTCTATAAACTTAGTCAAAGTTAACAAAGTTTGACTTTGACCAAATCTTATATGTAGACTAAAAAGAAATGGAGGGAGTACTTGTCGACATTAATTGTGTATGTACGTGCTAAGAGAACCACGGTTTCTTAGTGAATCGAGCGGATACCATCAAGCAATGCGCGATAATGGATGAGCCCTACCCATCAGATGCTCTGAGAATCAACATGGATGAGCTGTTTGGGGCGGCGGCAGGGCTGAGAATCAACATGCGAAAATCTGTGGCCCTACCCATCAGATGCTCCGAGGAGGAGATAACTATGACATGCAACGAGCTTCAGTGTCTCTTGGGATCGTTTCCAATCAAATACCTTGGGATACCACTATCGTTAAGAAAGCAATCAGCGATGCAATTGTAGTACTTGGTTGATCATTTGGCAAATAGGTTGCCAAAGTGGAAGGCGACACTTATGCTAAAGAGTGGTCGACTAACTATGGTGCAGTCCGTACTTTGCGCCATGCCAATCCATGCTATGATGGCACTAGATCTCCCAATGAAAACTATCACGGCAATGAACAAGATTTGCCGAGGCTTCTTGTGGTGTAGAAGAGCTGAAGCGAACGGAGGCAAATGTGCGGTTGCATGGGACATGGTGTGCACGCCGAAGTGGGCAGGTGGTTTGGGGCTGCCAAACCTGAGATGGATGAACATTACCATGCAGGCCCGTTGGCCGTGGTTAAAAAGGATCGATGAGTCAAGGTCGTGGAATGAGTTCCGAATCAAAGTCGCGGACGAAGCACAATTGTTTTGCCAGTCAGCTATGAGGAGTACATCGAGGTCGGGCCGTACCACACTCTTTTGGGAGGACAGATGGTTAGATGGCCAGAGAATTCAGGAGATTGCACCGCGTGTGTATGACCTAGTCCCACCCCGAACACGCAGGATGAGATTGGTCAGTTCAGCTATGGAGAGTGGATCTTGGGCGATGGACTTCAACCCCAACTTTGGGCCGGACACCCTACATGAATTCCTCTCACTCTGGCAGGTGGTCAATGCTTGGGATGCATCTGATGATGCACTGGATGAGATAACTTGGTCGTGGGAGGCAAACGGGCGGTTCTCTGTGAGATCAGCGTATGCGGCTAGGTTTTGGGGACGGGAGGTAATCCCAACGGCGAACTTGACATGGAAGTCGTGTGCTCCTTTGCGATGCAGATTCTTCACTTGGCTGGCCATGAAAGACAGATGCTGGACCTCAGACCGTCTTGCGAGAAGAGGTCTACCGCACCAGGCCGCATTCCCTTTCTGTGATCAAGAGGAGGAAACGATCAACCATATTATGCTCACGTGTGTGTTTGCTAGAACAATTTGGGCGGCAATCTGTACTGCGTAGGGTTCACCAGATTGGACCCCCTCTCCCCAAGACTCACTGGTGGAGTGGGCGGTCAACAAGCGAGGATCGAACAGTGTGAGTACGAAGGATCTGTGCACCATCCTCGCGCTTACTGGGTGGGAGTTGTGGAAGCATAGAAATGCCATCGTCTTTGAGGGAGTGCGGCCTTCGATCGCGCAGTTGCTACAAAAGGTGTATTATGAGGGTTTGGTTTGGTCCTCCGCTGGACTACTGAAAGGGAATGTAACTCCCTTCTTTAGTAGGATAGAGAGGTGGGTGAGTGGTGAGTATTAGCATGTATTAATAACCCTATAAACTATGACGGAGACACTCTTTGTATTTCTTCTTTAATATATGATGATATGCACACTCGTGCATATTCGAGAGAGAGAAAAATGGATGAGCCGCAAAATTAGAAGGCATGCTTTTCTGAGGGGGTATTTTGCAAAAACATTACCCAAGGTGGCAGTGGTAAAACAACATGTCGCGCGTGCAGACCAAAGCTTATGTTGTATGGATAGAGCCTCCGATAACTCGGATGACATATTTCCAGTATTTAAATATGCATTTCTAGTTGTACGACTGCCTTGGCA